ATAGCTGATGGATAAAGCAAGAATTCAGTGGTTTTCTACTCTTGACACCAGAGCAACTGTAAAAATAGGATCTGATTTTTCTTTTTGGCAGGGAGGAGACAAGCAAGTTTGTAACAGCTGCTTTTGCTTTAGCTAGTGTAGAGAGCCAGATTGTCTTCTTACTAGTATGTTCTTTCTGGGAAGCAAGGTATACAGTCCCCCAGTGGCCCTTGGTGACCTTGGCAAATGGATAAGGACAGAATGTGCAACCACTTAATTATCCAATTCCTGGACAACTGCTAATTGCAGCAACATGTTCTAATCTATACATATGGAGACATGAAGAAGATATGAAGAATACAGAAGCATTTGGGCTTGTCCCATGCCTTCAGAAGGACTTTGTTTTTTGCTGAGTGAATGCACATTGTTTTCAAGATATTTAATCTAATTTTGTTACCATAAGAAGTATGAAAATGAAATTAGCAATGACACCTAATACAGGGAAAGATAAAAAGTAAATTTGATTGACCAAGATTACAAGCTCAAATGTCAGTTTATAATATGCTGGAAAGGATGGCAAAGTGTTTTATTTCTTCTCCCTTATTACATCAATAGGCTGTTGATCATCATCCTTGTTTAACATAGCAAATTCACTATTAAAGGAAGATGAATGGAAGCATCCCGTGTGATCACGGTGACCATTTTATTCAACATTTGTTGACTAAGTCACCCAGATTCATCAGACTTGACTTCTACTGGGCAGAGTCTGATTTGGTGACTGTGGCATCATTTAGTTCTGTTATTTGAGATTAATTCTGGTCTGCTGACTCCAAGGAAGTAAATATGACCCTTGCTGTTTGAAAGAATTATTCATGCTCCTCCTAACTCCCCTTTATTGATATTGCCAACCCGCAGTGCAACTGGAGATGGCACCTATCCCAGTTCAGGATGTTACTACAATCTGGATGGTATGAAAGATGCTAAAGTTGAATCCTAGCAAAAATGGAGTTACTGATTGTCCTTTATAGTTTTCTGTTCATTCCATTCTTGTTTCCTGAGGGGTAGCATCACCCTTGAGGAAGTTGATCACAGTTTGTCAGTCCTTCTGCACTGCTGGATGATCAGTGGAGGTTATAAATAGGACAAGCTTTCCTCAACTTCTCTTGGTATGTAGCAGCTGCAGCCCGTTCACCCCCATGAAGGTAGACTTCGGCAATCTGTTGTAGATGGGGCTGCTTTGAGGATCATTCAGAACTATAGGTGGGTGAAAATGCAATGGCCCACTTGTTGACTATTGTTAATCTCTATTACACTTATTTTGCATTGGTTCCTAATAAGTTTCCCGATGCAATTCCAAGTGTTAGTTTTCACTTTTAAAATCTTGTATGGCTTACCATCTGTGTACTTGGAGGACCAACTGTTGTTAACAGATTTGAACTGTCCAAAATGTATGAAATTTTCCCAGAGGAAACAGTTTATGGTACCCTAATTTTATGAAGTGAAAGGGGTTAAGGCCAGAATGTGCACTTTTTTAGTCATGGTACCAATACTATGAAACACCTCCTTCTGCAAGCCCCTCTTGGTGAAGGCCATTTAGGAATTAATGAAGACTGAAACTTCTTATAGTGAACGATTGTTGTTAATATGATGGTATTAAAACAATAAAGTATATAATTCTATTTGATTAATGCAATGATTTGCTTCATTATTTTTAATTTTATATATATTAACTTAATTGCATTAGTTGAAAGCAAGATGGAAGAGCATAAGAAACTAATGGAGAAGAAAGATCTAAATATTTTAGAACTAACTAAACAACTGAAAGCTCAAGAAAAGGAAAAGCAGAATGAGATATTCAAATTACAAATAGAGGTATGCCATTCATGACACTCTGAGAATATGCCAGAATAACAAGAAATATGCTACATGAATAAATTATAAATTGTGGATCAAAATCAAAACATTGCATTTTACAAAATGTAAAAAAACACCTGACAAGGAATAACTTTAAGGTAGAAATTGATACAATTTCAGTATGTATTCATATTACATTTTTCATATTTCATCATTTTCAGTTCAGATTCATTTTTGCCAGAGTTGTCACAAATAATATTTTCTCTTACTGACTTGGGATCAAAACATCAGTGAAGATACCTCAGGAATGGTATCTTTCTAGTACGTTGAAATTTGTGCTAAGATTTATTTAAGATTGAGAATGACAGGGAAATTATTACTGTTTTTCAATATTACATATAGTTTCTATAATTGTAAAAAGTATTTTGCATGCTTAGAATTATTAGTTCATAACCTCTTTTATTAGCATGTGCAGTGCCATGAGATTCTGCACCACAGATTATTGGGTCTCAGATTGTAAATTAACATGATTCAGGATAAACTGGAAGCTGACTGGACAAGAGTCAGTGAGATCACCAAAACAATGTCTTGCCTAGGAGGTTTTTAAGCCAGTGACTTCTGAAGAAGTTGACAGAGTTCCCTGTAACTTTAGTTCCTTTACTTGCATACCTGACCCCTGCCTTTTCTGGCTGGCTGAAGCAATGGTGGGGGGAAGGAATATGGAGCCAAACAATTGCCATGAAGACCTGTTGAGGAAGGAGTAATGGTCATCTACTGTTTGAATGAAATATCATTGGAGTGCAGATGATATCCAGTTAATGTTAGTAAACAAATTCAATATTAAAGTGGCAAAAGTATGTTTTTTGTTTCATCTTTTGCTTCCTTTTTTTTTCAGAATGTAGTAAAAAAAGTTATTTTAGAGTATTTTATGCTCCATAGTACTAAATGTATTCATGCCTTCAAGAGTTTGTGCTAATATCATAATTTTGATAGTTTATTAGGATTACAGCCTTAAATATCTTTCTCTCTTTGTTCTTACTGCTGCATTTTTCCCTTATCACTTTCAACAAAGTCTTCAATTCTGAGCAGTAAACAAAGACATGACCCAGTCAATTAAGATGCCTTTAATCACATTGATTTTGTATGTATTACTTTTATGCCTTGCTTTTCTGCATTAAACTTTGGGGAAATTCTCTTTTTACATTATCTTTGTAACAGCTCTCTAAAACCAATAATACCATGTGATGGTAATGAGTCAATTTTACTCATTTGCACTTCATGGCCAAATGAGAAGCTGTTTTCCCTGTGTTAATGTAAACATCCTTAGCCAAGAGTTGCTTATACATTAAAATAGCATTAATTGCAGAGCAGCTTTTTCTCTTATTTACATTATCAATACACTAGCTCTTTTTTTAACAAAATTTCAGTTCAATACTAAACTGGAAAGGCTGCAGACCAAAACGCTGAAAGTACAGGCTAACCCCACAGCACTCCCTCAAAATATCTATAGAAAGGTAAGTGTTTTGTTTTCCTAAATGTAAAGTGGTTTAAAGGTTAAGATGTTTTGACTGCAGATATTTTGACCTACTCTGTTTACATGTAGTCACATATGTGAGATGGGCAGCTATATCAATTTACCAGATAAAATAAAAATTCTGTTTTAACATTGTCTTATGCTGGGATAAGAGTGAGGAGAAAACATCCCAAAGAGCTATTTCAAAAGAAAGAGATGTTCAATAAATGCTTCTCTCATCTGAGATTCACTTGCAGGAGGAGGTTGCCTGCAAGTCATCCATTTATTTCATAGCCCTGAAAAAAATGTACAAGGCTCCTCTGTAGTTTCACATTTTTTAGTATTGATAGTTCATTTAAACCTAAACCTTTTCCTAAAGTAAAAAATTGGGAAATACAATTCCTCTCAAATTTAGTCAACTATAAATTAGTTACCATTCACTGGGGAGCAAAGAAAGATTAGTCTTTGGAAGGAAAATATCCAGAATTATTGCAAACCTGCAGCAGTTATTGCCATTATGAGTCTTGAATTTCTTCAGTACAGTTCTACCCTTTAGCTTTTGGGCCCTTTACACACAGAACAAAAGCATGGCTATTAGGATGCCATTAAGTATTTATGCAGCATTACAGGTACAAGCTTCCCATTGGTGTGAACTCCAGCCTTAAGCTACTTGCCGCTTTCTCATTCCCAGCTGATTTTGAGGCACAGCAGCTAGCTGGGTGTTCCAAGTTTTGATTTTCTCCTGCCACAGAAAGCAAACCTGGTAATGCAAAATGGAGATAGAGGCACTGGCTAGGATGGACTTTTTTATGCTTGTTCATTAGCTACCTGAAGAGAGCAGATTTAGTGATGGGTTTAGCAGGTGTCCCTCATGTAGTAGCTATATAGAATGTTTGAATGCCAGGGGCTATGGATAAATGCCCTTTATTCTTTTTCTCTGGCAGGGCCACTGACTTGAGTTGTATTTGAGCAGTTGGACAACTAAATTGAGGTGGAAAAAATAATTGAATAATTGAAATTATATAACATATTTTGCATTATTCCCTCTATGCAAATACTCAACAGGAATCATTATCCCCATGCTTTACTAAACAGCCTGGTTTTGACTTGTTTTATCTTAGTTATTATCAGATCAATCTGATTTGACCACTTTGATCATAGCTCAGTACTGTTCTATAATCTGCACAGTATGCTGTATTGTCTGATCTAATCTTCTTAAATATTTTAGAATAATTTAGAATAAAACATATTTTAGAATATTTTAGAATAATTAATTATAATTTTCTTGTTTTATTTGTTGGTCTATGACAGAATAGATTTCTGATTCCTAGAAACTAAGTCATGAAATATAATTATCTCTGAAGCATCTCAATTTATGTACATATATGCATTTCTAGGCATATGGATATACATACATACTTTTTCATTTATAGTTATAAGAGGATATATTTTTTTTATTTATTTGGTTTTGTAGAAGCTCCAGCATCTTCAAGAAGAAAAGAATAAAGAAATTGAGATTCTTCGAAATGTTATCAAAGACTTGGAACAAAAGCTCGACAAATGCAAAGATTGCTATTATAAACTGCGACAATTTTGAGAATAACATGAGACCACAAGTTTTACTGAGGAGACAGAACTGAATGAGCGATACACATTGAATTTATGGATACTTTTATTTATTAAAACGTATTGTTTCTCCATCTGCAAGCTCTCCAGTTGTGTACACTGAACTACTTTCCCTCTTGCAAGCATTCACCATAAAAGAATTCAGGTTTTATAGGGGTACGATTTCCCTATCCAAACCATCATGAATTATGACAAACACAATCCTAAAGAGTTTCCCTCTATTGAACGTTTTCTTTCCGCTCTAGAACTTGCAAAAATTCAGTTAATTTCAGAAACAGGTATTATTTTGCTACATAAAAATAGATATTATATAAACATGCCTCCTATACAAGACTGTCCAAATCACTGGTTAGCAGAAAAGATGGTTAAGTGTAGATCTTAAATTTTATGACCAGATACTTACGAAATTGAAATTAGTATTCGTTTCATCCCATCCCATCACTCTCACTTCATGTTTTGAAAGACTGTTATCCCAAATTTCAAACGAACTGTGAGAGTGAATAGTTTGAGAAACGCAGAAATTGATTTTAATAGGTCTTATTATAGGACTCACAACTTATAACATTAAATCTGATGTTAGACTAGTGAATTCTGCAGACTTCTTGATGAAAATATCTGGTTAGAATATTATGCGCAGAATTCTATACAATTATCTTAAATGGTTTTAGAGTTTGGGAGAAAAACATTTTCATCTATTCACCTGGTCTTAACCTATAATTGTAAAACATAGTTAGCAAATCTTTTCTTATCCTCTCCTGTTCTGATTTGCTCCGTATCCAACAAAAGCCCCTAGGTCATAGTTTTGGCTCCTGTTTTCATGAATGCAAACAGAATGGTAGAAGAGGAAATCAAAAAGACAAGCTAACAAACACCACAGACACTTGGAACTGGCACTGAGAAACAATTCTATACCATTATGGGAAAGTTTTGTTCTTACTGTTTAAGGCAAAATCAGATGACAAGGACTGTATTCTGAATCAGTAAAATCAGAGCACGTAACTACAACTGAACAAATACAGCTGAAATGCAAGAACTCTTGCTTAACTGGCAGGTGTAAAGATTGTTTTTCTTTCCTCCCCAATAATTCACATAATGGTACGTGTGCCAGGAAGATTACTGCTGAAATGCATTCCTCTGCTTTAATGCCTTTTGGCCACCTATAGCAAGGGTTTCCAATAACTTTGGCAGAAATAGTAGGACCAATTTCAAATTATTATGGAATGCATTCCAAAGTCTGCAATCTTCCCTAGGTGTTTAGACTGTTCCTCAAGCTCAGTTGTCCAGCCCAGCTCACTGTCAGGTTTCACCCCTTCTTGCTGCTGGTAACAGTCAAGCAGCTGTTGGCAGACGTCACTGTCAAGACTCAGCTATGTTGTCTGCCAACAGCTGCCCTTGTCACCTTCAGGAAGATGGGAGCTCTCCACGACAATGTCAGGAAACTGTGCTTTGCTGTTCTTCAAACAACAAGTGGCGACAGTGTCAGCATCAGCTACTGGAAACAGGTCCTGTCAAGTGCTGCCAGTTTCAGCTTAACTGGTGCTTGCAGATGCCATTCCCCCTTTGTCAGAGCCTGTTTCTTTGCAAAGGAACTTCTACATCTGCTGCTAGAAAGGCAGCTTCTGCAGGTTCCTGGCCCAACACTCTGCGGTTACGCTGATTGTTTATTGCTATCAAATGTTGATGATCCCCTTTGTGATGATGTCCCTGAGGATGGTGATGAGGATGAGGATGATGTCCATGATGATGATGAGGGTGATGAGGATGGGGATGCTCACTGGGAGACAACTGTGAGGCAGAAGAAGCTGCCTCGATTTGCTTTTCTTCTGGATTCTCCCAGATTCTTTTACATATTTCTTCAATTTCAGATGTCTGAAAAAAGTTCAGACAACATGGTCAGAATTTCAACTTGTTCTCATACAGTATGTCAACACAAAATACAAGAGAAAAATATAATCAGTTTAAAGAAAATGTAATTAAACCTAGTATTTCTGCTTAAAATCAAAATTATCACAAAGTGATCAGCTTCTCTCAAGACTATTCTTGTCCAAGTCATTTCTAAAGTGCCTTATGCTTAGATTAGCATGAGACTCTTATTTTAGAAAATATCCAGCTTGTTATAATTCTGACCGTACAAAAGCTGTGAGAGAATCCTAGTTCCATTTGATGTTGGTTATTTACTTGATTACTTTGCTTCCTTCTCAAGGAATTAAAGAATATGACTTAATTACAAAGATCTGGATCTTATACATGGGCTTAATGGCAAGTTAGTTGTTCAGTGGCAATACAATCATTTTGCAGTTGGGACATGCTCACAGGTCTGCATTTATAGGAATGTTTTTTTCTAAATTAAACAACTGGACAATAAATGCCTCCCAGGATGAATGATACCATAGGGAGAATGAAATCTGTATAGATATACCTTATCTGGGTTCCTATCTTATACTGAAGTTGAGCTTAGCATGTTGTGCGAACTAATGGAATTTTAGGATTGGAAGACTCCCAAAGCAGGAGTCTTCATACCATCTCAGATAAATGGTTGCCCATTCTTTTCTTGAAAACTTCCAGCAATGGAGCACCCATAACTCCAGAAGGCAAACTATTCCACTGCTTAATACTTCTCCCCATCAGGAAATTCCTCCTTATTTCCAGGTTGGATATCCCTCTGAGAAACTTCTACCCATTGCTTCTTTTCCTACCCTCAGGTTACTATCAGGAATAAACTGACACTCTTTTCTGTGACAGCCCTTCAAGTATTGGAACACTGCTATCAGTCTTTTCTTTGTTGACTCAGCCACTGTGACTTAATAAATCATAATTAATGATACCATTAGTTATGTATCTTTATTTTTTCTTGAAGAAAGATAGCAATCTATTTTTTTTGGGAATAAGAACATTTGAAAAAAAATAATTATTTGCTAAAAAGTTATACAATTCTTAGAAATTACCCAAAAAATAAAATAAAATCAGCGGTTATAGGTTCAGTACATTTTTAAATTTTCATTTGATCAGCTTTTCTTTTTCCTAGACACTTCTATACAACAGCAAAAGGGGAAAAATGAATACATACTGTGTATGAGCAATTTCCACAAGTTTCTTTACAATAGGTGATCTGAATAGCTTTCTCTACAAATGGAAAACTCAGGAAAGAAACAGGTAAGCCAAGGTGATAAACGAGACGGCCACACCTAGGAAGAAAGTGAGCCAGTTCTTAATAGCAATGTATCACTACATTTATGAAGAAGAGTTTTACAAAACTAAAAAACAAAAGATTTTTTGCATCTTGACTTTCTTGTCTTCTGTTGTGATTCCCAAAATCTATTGTCTATGAAGATTCTCAGTCATCCAGGTCATAGTTATCCCAAAGATGTTTTTTCATGGGGCAACTGGACTTTCTTGTTTTTCTTTGAAGACATTTTGCTTCTCATCCAAGAAGCTTCTTCAGCTCAGACTGAATGGTGGGGAAGCTGAAAAAGTTTCTTGGATGAGAAGCGAAACATCATATTATAAAAAAAACTGTGGATTGGGGTCACACTAGCGCTGCTGTAGCAGTACTATTACAGTAATCCTAATCCTTTGTCTTCTGCTATCTATTTTTAATGGATAGGACTTCTTTGTCTCCTTCTGAACTTTCCTACTTTTCTGAAAGCAGAACAGTGATAAACCTCATTAAGATGGACCTGATAAAGCCCATTAACGGGAAGGGCTCATATGAAAGAATGCATCTCCCTGCAAAAAGTCCCATTAGTTGGAAAAGCAGCAAACCAGGGGAAGGGAAATGTAAAGTGGGAACTCATATGCACATTGATTTAAGTAGCATAAACCACTTTGGGGCAAAATAAACTATTTGTGGGTTTGGGTTTTTCGTTGACTCTGGAAATTGCCTGGACAAGTCCTTGCAGGTTTTTTGACAAGTTTTTGGAAGGGGCTTGCCATTGCCTCCTACCTAAGGCTAAGAGAAAGTGACTGGCTTAAGGTCAGCCAAATTATTAATGCCCAAGTTTCTTCCAGTTTCTAGCCTGATGCTTTAATCACCAAACCAAGTACATATTACATTGAAGTAGCCAACCAGGTTCATATCTTATGTGAGCCTACCCAGCCCACAGAGTCAAATGAATGGAGAAAACTTTAATGTACTCTGAATCTATTGTGCAAATAGAGGCACAGAGCCTCTAATGCAAAACTGTAGGATGCCATCTAATCCAAATAAGCTTCATGTGCTTCCAAAATACGGAGTATCTAAGAAATTCTAATCCATTTGATTTGTTTTATAAACAGACCTGTCGTAAATCAGGAAATCATCTTTTTTGCCTCTTAAAGTAGTCCAGACATCAAGTTCTGTTGCATTCTGTTGGTATACAGGAATGTCTTCTGGAACTTTTTCTCTTAGAAGTTGGTACTTCAGCTGGGAAGAGTTTCCTTGGTGATTGACCACAATGAAGGAGATATTGACCATTCCATTACTTGCCAGCTTCAATTGCAGGTCTCCAAGTCTAATAAGTAAATAACATTTTATGCATTCATTTTATTCCCTTTGGAAAAGCAGAATTTGCTTGGAATGGGCATGTTATCTACAATTATCTAAGTTGATACTACTTAGGAGTCTTACTACTATACAATCAAACAGTACAAATGGATTTGAAAAGTCACAGCAGCTTTCACACCCGGACCAAAAACAAAATAAACCAACCTGTTAGCCTGGGAGCAATTCCTAAGAAACATGTCAAATGCAATAGGGTGGACAGTCACTAATTTTCAGAAAACAACTTTGGGATTAAATTCAAAAATGAAGAGACATTATTGAAGAAGGCAATAGCAATAGCACTTAAACTTATATATCGCTTCACAGTGCCTTACAGCCCTCTCTAAGTGATTTACAGAGTCAGCATATTGCCCCCAAACAATCTGGTCTTCGTTTTACTGACCTCAGAAAGATGGAAGGTTGGTCTTCAGCCGGTGAGAATTGAATTGCCAAACTGCTAGCTGTTGGCAGTCAGCAGAATTAGCTTGCCATGCTGCATTCTAACCACTGTGCCACCAAGGCATTTTGTTCTTACAAATTGTCACATGGAGTTTTTTTAACAAAGCCAGAATGCAAGTTTCACCCAAAAATAACTGTAATGCAATAATTCTGGCAATCAAGCAAAACCTATTGTGCCAGACATCTTAACTTTTTTTTTCTCCTCCCCAGCCTAAGCTGAATAAAGACTCCTCTTGCTTTAAGAAACAGATCCCAACAGAGTATCCATTCATGTACAATTGCATATTTGAGTGGCCTTACCTGGAAGCCTGCAAAATGCACAGGTATCAGCTAGCCTGGAGTAGAGCAACCACTGTCACCGACCCTCTTGAGTTCATCATGGGATTTTCTTCCCCAATGTTCCATTCTGGAGGTTCTTTACAATGACCCAGATGCTCTGTTCCTCCTCCTGGGAGGAGACAGAGGATCAGAGCTAGCCCTAGCCCAGCCCACATGGCTGGACGTTGCCTGCAAAGCAGAGAAACAAGTTAAGGAAGAAAACTAAAGACTGTAAAGTATCACACAGCCTGCCCTGTGCCCTGACTCTTTCAGATTAGTAGCACCAACAGATTCTGAAAACATGGGGCATCTCTTCTCTTAAATTATTCAGTACAAATTAAAGCTACACCAAATAAGCAATTAATTTCCCAAGCCAGTTTAGTGTAGTGCTTAAAATGCTGGTCTAGAAACCAGGAGATAGTACTTCCTAGTCCCACCTGAAGCCAGCTCAGCCCAATCTACCTCAACAGGGTTGTTGTTGGGAAAATATGAGGAGGAAGGAGTATTATGTATGGTTGCCGCCTTGAGTTACTTATAAAGTAATAAAAGCAGGATAAAAATCAAATCAAAGTGATCAAGGATTTCCCATTTTAAAATAATTTTTCTACTCAATAATGTCTACCATTGGAAGAATATGTTTTTACTTATGAAAAGTATTTTTTCTTCAATCTATTGTAAAATTTCATGTTTCTGAGTTAATAGGCTCAAGGAAAGTGATCTGTTGTTTGGGGCAAATGAAAACTGAAAACCTAAGAGACAGAAAGCTTTGCCATGAAAATAAGATTTTTGAATCAGAAATCACTGCAGAGTTTCACTTTACATTACAGAATGTAAAGAATGTAATGGGTTCAATTATTCTAAAGGGATGATCTACTACAAAGCTACCAGAAATTAGGTTTCTAGTATAGCATCAGCTCAGATTAACAACTTTTGTGTGAAAAGGTGCTGTAAGACTACTCCTAATTTTGGGCTCCCATATAGTATAATGTGAACCACGTTTGTCTGAGTGACAATGCAATCCTGCACATCTATACAATATTAAACTAATTGCCATTCTCGTTTCCCTTTTTTCCTCTGGCAATTCTAATTAGAACATGAGTTCATGAAAAGTTGTATTTACATACAGTATAAAACAAATATTTTCTTACAGGTCGCACACCTAAGCTGGGAGTAGGCATCTGATAGTGGAGCACGGCAATATTACACAAGTGTGTCATCGGAGCTTGTACAAAATACACAATCGTAATCGTACTTCATGCAAAAAAAAAAGGCTGCAGTTCTCTCTATGCATGAACGAGGGAGCAAGCCACCCTGATTTCAGCGGGGTACTGCTGAGTGAAATTAAGATTAGCAGCCTCGCATCCCAAAGCGCTAAATCTGTATTACATGCAAACTCGCTAATTTTTTTTTTTTTTGAAGACTTAGATGCTTAACTATCTTTCAAACGAACCCCCCGCCCAATACCCCACTCCCCGCTTGAATCAGCTAAGCTTCCTAGGCTACGTCGATGCAGCGAGGCGCTGTGAACACAGCCACGCAAGTGCGTTCAACCCAAACGGCAGCGTGTTTTGCAGGCGCACGCGGATCTCAGCGTCTTAGGAGGAGGAAAATAGTTTGTTTTTTTAATGCATTCAAAGCCCCTTTTTCCCCTGCCCGGTCCAAAGTCACCTTCTGCAACTTCGGCGGACAAGAAACTTACCGCGCCGCTGCGACGCTCAACAGACGCCTCCCCACTCCCGAGCCTCTAGTTCGCTCGTCCCACTCGCTGGTATTTATACCCCTCTAGTTGTTTGTCTCCGAATTTGGATACCGTTCAAAGTTCGGCGATTCTCGCGACGTCTCCGAAGAAACCTAAAGCCTGGAGCGAGTCAAGGGCGAGGATCCCGGGAAGAACAGCAGCCCCCCAAAAGCGAAGTCAAGCCTGGCGACTTCCCTGCTGCGCGCGGGGTCCAAGTCAGAGGCGAGGGGGCTTCACTTCAGCTTGGCCGCAGCGAAAAGGGGGGGGGGGTCTTTTGTCTTCTCTTAGTCCCTACACAGTTCCTCTCGAGGGAGACCCCAACGTTTATTTTGGTATCCAAAAGCAGATTTTCCGCTACAGTACAAGCAGCCTGAGCTGAAGTCCCAAAGCTCAACGCCGTCGGAGAAATGGGGTCTCAGGACTGGCAGGCATGACGCTGTAACCATCTCCCTAGTCCCCAATCTGGCGCCCAGGGGCACCATAGCCCCTGAAGCCATCCCTTTTCTATCCAGAGAGCTCCCTGCCTCTCTTGGTTTGTATTTCAAACATGATTTTTGTAAAAGTGAGAAGCAATCCAGCTGTGCACCACTGTTTATTTCCAAGAATGCCTCTCAACTCCATAAGCTATCCCGTTGGCCTTAGGCGGCAAGTAAATTTCATAGATAATGGCAGTTGTTTTGGAAATTGGTACCTTATACTGACAGCCACTTCATAGATGGAACACACTCCCCCCCAAAACCCACCCTTTTTGCATTAATAATCATAGTATGTTCTAAAATTACAAAAGTGTTCCCCCCCCCATCCAAAAGAGCAGCTTAATGCTAGGCCATAAAAGTGCTGGTTTGGTGTTGTATAAATTCCAGGTAACCATAATTAATTCAAAGAACCACTTTGGATTAAGGTTTAAATCAGTACTGTGATAGCATGATGTGTGAATCACATGCTATTAGCATGTTTACAGTATACAGTATATACACATAATGACCAACAATGGCCAAAGAACTAGGACTAGAGAGTTGCTTCTGGGTATGAGTTTCTGATGCTATTATAGTGTTAGTGCTCTTCTGGTAGAGAAGCTTTTCCAGATTTAGTAATTGAAGTGTTGCACCGCAATTCTCATAATTGAGCAACCTCCCTGTGGGAATATACTGTAATCCCAAATCTCTGGAGGGCACCAGGTGGGGAAGCTTGTGTTGCAATGTATGTTGGTGACTAGCAAATATGAATAGGCAATGTGATGTAATGGTGAAAACAAAAGACAAATACAGTTTTAAGGTATATCAACAAATGTATAATTTTTGAATCTCGGGAGGGAATCAATCCACTATATGCTGCATTGTCCAGGTCCCTTCTTGAGAAATGGATCTTGCTCTGGGATCTAATGATCGCCACTAGATATGTATATTCCAAGAAGGAGAACAAGGAAGAACAAGGGAAAGAAACCACATCCCATGAAGATAAATTGAAAGATCTGCAGGCATTTAGCCTTGGGAAGGTGGAAAGAGACATGATTATACCATGTTTCAAAATGTAGTGCATACTGTAATGAGATAGAGACAGTGCTGCTTTCAGAGTGAAAGTTGAAAGTTCTGACGTGATAGTTTAATATTAGCCTTCCAAGCAGAATGACTGCTGGCAGTTCCTAACTATACTTTTTAAAATAAATAAATAAATAAATATATAACTCTTATGTTTTAAAAGAGTCTTCCCCTTAAGCGCTTTCATGAATGTATCTATGGAGATTCTCAATCATCCAGGTCATGGTTGTCCCAAAGATGCTTTTTCAGGAGGCAACTGGACGTTCTTGTTTTTCTTTGAAGACATTTCGCTTCTCATCCAAGAAGCTTCTTCAGCTCTGATTGGATGGTGGGGAATGAAAGGATTTATATTCCTTGCAGACAGTTGGTCATTTTCATTCTTTTAGAGAATCCAGTCAGAGCTGAGGAAGTTTCTTGGATAAGAAGCGAAACATCTTCAAAGAAAAACAAGAAAGTCCAGTTGCTTCCTAAAAAAAGCACCTTTGGGACTTTTATTAATGTAATTGCAGCGAATGTGCTTTTTGTAAGAACAACTCAATTGGCATGATCAAATATTGACACTCAGATCAACAGTTCAGGGCCAATAAAGCACACAAGATGGTAGCTCAGTAATATATAATGCACGTTGAAAAATGTCAGGGATTGTACAAGGTACACATCATGGTTCATTACAACTGAACAAGTTGGATTTGTACAACATACTGAGCAACAAATACAAATAAATAAGGTTTACAATAACCAAGCTTGGAATGCATAAATGCATAGTTTAGATCAGGGGTGTCAAACTGCCAGCCCACAGTCTGGGTCATGGTGAAACTGCGCCCACCCCATTGCTGGCAATGGAAACAAAGTCACGATACGTCGTGACATGTCATGTGACATTGTGAGTTTGACACCCCTGGTCTAGATTTTTAGCTGACTACATTTAGAGCACTGTGGGATCATAGCATGAGGTTTAAATATAGCTTGTATCAGGTTATGTCCAGCATTCAAGCATAAGTGACAATACAGATCTCAGCATTGAAAATAAACTTCAATCTTTTCATTTGGCATTATTTGATCAACGTATCTGTGATTAAGCTAAGAATGGTTTATTCAGTTAATCCAGTTGGGGGAATTCTTAGGACAATGAAGCATTAACTATCTTCCAAGGCTGGCTTTTCATAGCACACTAAGCTATTGCTGATAGACCACCTTCTGCCACAGTGTGTTATGGAAACACAACACAGTAATCTAAAATAGCCTATCAGCCATAAAGCCATTTACACAGTCTAAGTCACTGCAGTCTTATCAGTTTTATATTTGCTGAACAAAACATGATTAGGGGTTTATGGGTTGGTTTATGGGTTGGTTAAGATGACCTTGCTGGATCCCTTTCAAATGCCAGAAGAGTATTGTGCCTACTCTGAAGCAATTATTACTTAAGTTAGGTGGAATCTGATATACTGTAATAACACTCCTAACATTCTCTAAAGATGTTCGGGGACCTAGAATGACTCAAATGACTAGTCCCCCCCCCACCCTTGGTTGTCAAGAGGAAGGAGTGGTTGAGGTCTGTGAATACAGCTGACTTCCAGAAACATGGAAAAAAGGGCAGGACTTTCTGGATGGGAAGCCAGTCCTTCCACATTTTATCCCACCTAGCACATCTTTGCCTAACTCAAATAGCACAAGAGCAGACTGTAGATTTGCCGAGTAGTTTTTTTTTAATGCTGTGTTTTAAAAAATAATAATAATAATTCTGAGATCAGGAAATTATTAGATTAGATTTTTTTTTCAAATGCCACCTTTTTTTTTTTTTATAAATAACTCAATGTGGCATCTAATACTCCTTCCACCTCCTATTTTGCCCACAGGGTTGGGCTCAGGGAGTGTGAATGGTCCAAAATCATTCGGCAAAATTGAGCAACTAGCATTTATTAAGATTGCAAATAAGTCCTATTTCCAAGATATGCCTTAACGAAAATGTTCTAGATAATGACAGGTTATCAGCTATGGCAACTGGATAAGCGCAATTTTAAAGCATATAACAGGACAAGGTTCAAACAGCTCATCAGGTCAAGAATAGATCTCAGTTTTTATCATTATGATGGTTCTGTAATGAATTTCTGGATCTCTAACAAGGGGGTTTGGAGCTGATCTACCAAACTGAATCTAACAATGTATTAACAGTCAATCCATTTCCATTCTCTTCACAAAATATTGCAAAAATAAATGGATGTCTAATGACTATAATATTTATTATATAGTTTCCCCATTTTGGGAACCTCTAGATGTGCTGGACTAAAGCTCCCACCATCTCCATCCAGGATCCCCATCCATCTGTCCATCCAAAGACTTTCATATGCATGCTGATCTGATTGGACCAGGTTGCTCAGACAAGCCCGCTTTAGATATTTGAATATTTAGGGCAGGATTCTATGGCCGTGCTATTCCCCAAAATATATGATGTAGATCTAAATAGTGTCCAGACCAGGCAGATTGGTTTAAAGTATTTTTTAAAACACACACACACACACACACACACACACACACACACACACACACACAGGCATCCCTTTGAACTGAGCTCAGAATCCAGTAAACAGTCAGTGATGCGGTACATTACTGGAACCTTCTGTCCAATCATTCACAAATATCCCTTCTAGGTCCAAGCATATCCATAGCATAGTTGAAAGTTCTAGTCTTTGTAGGTAGCGTTTTGGTGATCAGATCTGAATTTGATGATAGTGTGAACAACCTAGAGGTCACCCCTAAACAACTGAGATTAGTGTATCAACATAAAGGGATTATAAAGTTGCTAGCTAGATAATTCTGGGAGTTGAAATCCATGCATTTTAAAGCTGCCAATTTTGAGAAACATTGGTTTAGTTGTTCATCACTCCAGTCTTCCTCTGATATTGGGAGTTGTGGCCCACGAAATTAGGCTGGTTTATATCCAGTACCTTAGAAGAGAATATATGTGGCTCAGGGTTGAACTGTAGAGTCTTTGTGCTCTCTAAATTTGTTTCTTTAGTTGCAGACATTTCATTATCCAACTAGATAACAAGCAAACAACCAAGCTCAAACAGCACCAAGGACACCATGGTTTAGAATAGATCCACTGCCACTCCAGAATCACATGGTATGCTGCCCGCTAATCTGTTCTGCCAACTCTTCTGTTCTTTTTAAAGAAATATGACCATCAAACAAGTTTGGACTTGAGAGGTAGAGCAAATCTGGTTTGTTTCAGGTAACCTGAAGCATTTGCCAACAATTCCCTATAAATTTGTTTTCGTTAATGATTTGTTTACAAAGTAGAGACTCTGGCCCTGATTGTCAGCCAAATTATGTCAGCAGACTTGCATTCTGCTTCTTCCCTTTCCTGCTGATTGCACAAGATTGAAGTTAGCAAAGGAAAACAAAGGGCACAAGTGGATGGAGAGAAAGAGGACTTCCCAGTTAGCCATTGAGCCACAGAGCAGTGGCAGCACAGAATTTATGTGCCCAAAGCTCCTAGGTTCAATTCTCTCTACTTCCAAGGACAGCAGCACAAACTATAATTAAGACAGATAAGCCGATTGGGTGATGTAAAAA